TCCCAGAAGCCTTCCTCCCTAACTGTGCCGGCCAGGATTTCTGGGACTTGTAGTCCAAGAACATCTGGGGATCCAAGGCTGGGAACGACTCAACCTTTGGCTTTCCAGATGTTTTGGATTTTGTTTTCCAGAAATCCAAAAGAATTGGAGGGCTATAGACTGAAAACTCATAGAGTGGAAGGATTCACTCCCAAAGTCTCATTCGTGTGAATTTGTACAGGAAACTACCCAATCCTGATATAAATCCTCACTTATTTTATTCTAATGGGTGAAAATAAATATTATTATTTTTTCTCCCCTTCCAATGATATTACAAGCATTTTTGTGCATTTTTTTTCTTTTCAGGACTGACTTATATACAAAAGCACATTGTGTACAAAAATAACAACTCACCCTTAAGCTAAACCCTAGGTATTTTGCATGTCCTTTGTTATGGAAATGCAGGAGAGTTTGCACAAAACATTTTATGCATATATGCAGGAACGATTTTGTTTTTGCTAATTTTCCTTTTAACCGGATGAAATCCTGGCAATCTTTTCAGCCTGATACAGCGACACAAAGCTGCACAGCAGTTTTTGATGGATCAAGACATTTTCCCCCCATTGGAGCATAAGGAAATATGTAAATATTTGTTCCAGCCTTACTATCTCCTTCACATATCTACACCCATGCCAGAATCCTGAGCAGATGACAGAACTGAGAGGCAGATTAATCTACAGGGTGTAACCACGATGGGCTGCTTCTGGTTTCCAAGTGGAGAATGTATTTTAAGATGCAACGGAAAACATAAAAGGCAGAACAAGACATTAACATAAGGAATGTTCTCTCTCTCTCTCTTTAGAAGCAAGAATCTGACACGGTCAATCTGGATTTCACATCCACCAGTGCTCAAAAGGTCAGCAAGGATGGTCTAGAAATGTAAACACTCTGTGTGGTCTAAAAATCTGCATATTCATTCATTTATTTTAATAAATGAAATAAATGAATTTTAGTGATTTGTCATTTTAATAAATAAAAGAAATGAATTTTATTCATTTTTCATTGAAAATATTTTTACCCTGCCTTTCTATTTTGAAAGGGAAGGGTATAAGGGTTATTTTTGCACCTGCCGTACAAAATTCCTTCCTTCCTAGTTGACGTTTGCAAGAATCCAGTATTCCTACAAAACCGGCCAAGACTTGATTTGCAAACTCTTGCGTTCCACTGTCAGATTTGCAGCCCCTCCTGACATGGAATGTGGGTAGCGTGCCAGTCGCAAGCCCCTGTAAGCTGTTTTCTTTCCCCAGGTGTGGGGTGGGAGACGGCACGCAGGGAGAGACACACCGGGGCTGGAAGCAGCATCCTGCTCTCAGATGCACGACTCTGCTTTAAAAGAAGCCGCAAAACCTTGTTTTTCAAAGGAAAGTGGCTTTTACAATATCACAGTGCAGAAATACAGTGGGCAGGAGATGGCCACAGTGGAATGCAATCCTCAAAGTGTGTCCCTGGGGATGGCTAGCCAAGTCTTCAGAACAGCTGCACCAGAAACTTTGCCGCATAAGAGCAAGAGATGGCTCTTATTTCAGCCTTCCACTTGATAGCAGGACCCAGTAGCTTAAGCAGCCTGTGATAAATGGGCCAGGTTTCTGTTGCCTGAAACACTGTTATGGCACTCAGGGTTGGGAATTCCAAAACACTACCTGCTCTTAAAACCGGTAAATAAAATCTCGATGCTTTTCGTTTTTCTCTTTGGCTGTCCGTTGCTCCCTAAAATTGAGACTTTCAGAACTGGAGGGGTGGCGTCGGCTATTGAGACGCCTACGCCGATATTTGGGACCCAACCAAAGAGGGTGGGAGAACTCTGCTGCATAGCTCAGGGGTTGAGGTTTGGGAGTTTGATTCCCCCACTTGTGTCTCCTTGACTGGGGCTGGACTGGATGACCTCGAGGGTCCCCTTCCAGCTCTGCCCCTCTAAGATTATTATGGAATTCTGATCTGCCGTGTTTCACACAAAAGGTCAATTCCCCCGTCGACCCACTTCTTTTTTTTTTCTATGCAGGGAGAAAAAGGCTCTCCTGGAAGCCAAGGCAGCAAAGGAGAAAAGGTACTTTTCAACCTATTTGCACCTGTGCTGGTTGAAAAAAAGGACGTTCCCTCTGAATCCCAGCAAATCTTGGGAAAGTTACTTTTTTGGACTAGAACCCCAGATTACAGAGGACATGCTGGCTGGATGTTTTCCAGAAGTTTTTGTCATCCAAAAAATAGCTTCCAAACTAATCTGAGTCTAAAAGGCAGATCACATGTTAGGGGAAATGCTATTACCATGTTTTCCCTCTAAACACACACTTCCTGCAAAGCTCCATGCTGAAGAAAACAGGCAGGCCAACGAAGCCCGTATTTCTCACCCAATGCCCAGCGACAAAAGAAAGAAGAAAGCTCATTGTTGAAGATCAAGGCAGGCTTCTTTGGGGATAAACAGACTGTCTTTTAACACTTAGCAGAGCTCTGCATTTAATGACTTGCTAACTGTATTGCCTAGTTTGGTACAGTGTTTCTTTTTTTCCCTTCCCTACCCCTTCTTCCATTTTTTTCCTGCCACAGGGTGAACCTGGGGAGCCTGGAGAACCTGGTAGCAAGGTGAGCAGCAAAGAGCAACTTTGCCAATACTTCTGGTTCTGCACTGCAGTCCCACTGGTCTTGGTTGGTAAAGACTACCATGTGATGGTTGTTGTGGGTTTTTCGGGCTCTTTGGCCATGTTCTGAAGGTTGTTCTTGCTGTCGTTTCGCTGGTCTCTGTGGCCATGGGCATCTTCAGAGGACAGGAGTAGGAACTCTGTCCATGCTCTTTTGCTATTTATTGGATAGTTAAGTATAGCTATGGGATCAGCTTTTGTTCTTTTCAGGAGATTGGGTGATTATGGTGATCAGCGTGTTTTTTTGTTGTGGGTGTATTGTTGTGATAAGGGGGAGAGATTATCTGTCGCTGTGATTGATGGATGCGACTTAACCTGTAGCAGAATGTCATTTTCCCCATCCTCCAACCAAGGCAAATGAACACACCTTAACAGATGCACAGGAGCACAGGAAAAATCCTTGTGAATCTTAGCCAAGGTCTGCCTATGCTTAGTCTTGTGTCCCATAGTGAATCTCTTCCTCCTCTGCCTACATTGACCTTCCTTGCATGCCTGCATTTTTATTTATTTGAATTTCATCTCGCTTTTCTCGCCCACTATAACCTTTCTTCCAACCGTTGATCGTTTCGGTTGTCTGTTTTGGGGCATCTTGCCGCGAGAAGCCCTATAGATATTGTTGCAAAGATAGCTCTCCCCTGCCCCATGATGTGAAATCGAAACTTGCCAGAGAGTGTGCTCACATCCCATTTGGGACCCTTTGCGGCTTTTCCCAGGCAATCACACAACCTACGACACAATCCGTGCCTAAGCTGGACCTTCCTGGTGGAGCAGTTAAGGCTCCTTTTTGGGTCTGACTGGAGTCATTCTCTGATGGACAGAAGGGTTGATTTCGGGGGAATCATAGTCAACAAAGTGACCCATCAAATGCATACTTTTCTTGACATCAGAACCGCATTCTGGTGTTACCTTTCAAAGGCTGACATTCCTAGCTGGAGTTAGGTCTCCAGCTGCAAAGCCAGAAGTTGGGAGTTTAATTCACTGCATCTCCTGGGAGAAAAGCCAGCCTGGGTGGCCTTGGGCCAGCTGCACAAACTCCCAGGGATCCCCTCCCAGAAGAAGGGAATGATAATGCACTTCTGAGTACTCTATTTAAAATACCCTGAAAAGGATCACCATAGAACTGATTTGATGGCACACAATTGTTATGATTCCTAGATTATTATTATTGTTCCACAATTAGTATTACTCCACAGGGTGACCACTGAGAGTTGCAGTTAAAAAGTAACTTTTCCAAATTCTCTAGGCACAATCACGAGTGATTTCCTTGTCCCCTTGCACACTTTGGTTCTGCCCCCTTTTATCTTGGCGTGCCCTTTCTGATGTTCTCTGTTTTGAACTCGGAGCCCTACGAAAGGATGGGCGGTACCATTTCTAAGACCGGGGAAGATTTGTGACGGGTCTTTTGCTTGTCTTTCCACCAGGGCGCCAGAGGTGATGAAGGTGAAGTCGGTCAAAAGGTAAAGGAACTGGCTTTGTTTTGTCCAAATGCAGGAGTTTTTTTTTGGGGGGGGGGAAGGAAATCCGAGTCCCCATTTTTAAACCAGACTAAAGAAGCCCCCGTTGGCTGGAAGGATATTTCACTATACTAATGCTGATGAGGTTAAAATAGCACGAAAGGGAATAGCCAGTGTTTAGGAAAAAAATGATTTATTACAACCACTCTTAGAATCCAACAGCCAGCATGGGCAATGGCCTTGCTGGTTGGGGATGATAGGATTTGTGGTGGCCATGCTGGCTGGGGATTATGGGAGTTGAAGTCCAAAGCGTTACTTTCCCCCCACCAAACACTGAATCCTAGCTATAGTTATTAGAATCCACCAAAGTAACTTCGTTCTAGGTTTAAGGATGTTTAGAGCCTCCTTCAACCTGGCATCAGCTCCAGGCGAGGCAACAGGGCAGGGGTACCTTTTCATAGGGTTGGCCTGAGAATAAATATATACGCATTCTCTAATAAATATAGACATTACCCGGTTTTGTGCTGCAACATTTCACAAATCGTGGGCCGCTTCAAAGGGCAGCTCTGATGACAGGCAGAAGGCGTTCTTTGCAAGATGGCGGGAGGGCCAAACATGTTTCTCGAAAGACAAGAGTTCAGGTTTGGAGGAGGATGGGCGAGATGACACAGCCCAGTATTGAGAAGGGAAAGTCCTGACTTTGCCATGAAAAATTTCTCTGTTATAATTAAATGAAAGATTACAAATTGTGGAAACAGAGACCCTTGTCAACTGCACTGAGGAGACCCACCACAGTTCTTTTGGATGTTCTGGGACTCCGGACAGCCGGTGGGCGGCTTGGGTGGACCTTGGATGTGAACCAAGCTTGGAAAATTTACAGGGATTCCTTTGAGGATTACAGTTTTCAGAATCCAAAGCCAACTGGCTAGGGAATCTGGGAGATGTCCTCCAGAGAGTAAAAAAAAGAAAAGTTTTTTTTCCAAACTCTGATCATTCAGCCCAGGGAGCCTTTTAATAAGTGTTCATGACCAAACACTTGTGGATCTTAAGGACTCAGTTCTAAAGCAGGGCCAGCTCTGCCATTAAGCGGAAGGAGTCACCTGCCCCAGGTAGCAGGTACCAGTGGTTGGGCCATGCTCTCTCCTTGCCCATTCCCCTTCTGTTGTGGGCCTCTGACTGCAGCCATCTAGCTAGCTTGTGTCCCTTTGGGTGGTGTAGAGCAGGGGTCCTCAACCTTGGGCCTCCAGATGTTCTTGGACTACAACTCCCAGAAATCCTGGCCAGCAGAGGTGGGGGTGAAGGCTTCTGGGATGTTCTCCAGAACCTCTGGAGGCCCAAGGTTGGGGACCACTGGCATAGAGGATGCTGTCTTGTGATCAACCCTGAGTGAAGATGGAACTGGAAAGGCTTTCAGTGCATGTAGGATGATATCTCTTTGGCCCTTCAGACCTTCAGAGGAAGCTCTCCTCTTGGTCCTGCTGCCGTTGCAGAACATATCTGGTGCGGACACAAGACAGGGCCTTCTCTGTGGTTGCTCCCAGGTTGTGGGATGCTCTCTCTGGGGAGAATAGTTTGGCCACCCTGTTTTTATCCTTCCACTGAGAGCTGAAGACCCACCTCTTCAGGCAGACTTCTTAACCCTTAGGTCTGCATCCCTGGATGCTGGTTTTTAGCCGAGTTAAATTTGCTTTTCAACTTTTAAATATTTTTAATCCTTCTACATACGGTATCAAAATTACCGTGATCATTTAATGGTTTGCAATGCACTATTGATCGAGTTTTTAATTCTGCTTAACATTGTTGGCCGCCTCGAATTACTCTCCTAGGGGGAAAAGTGACCTACAGCTGAGACTTAATTAATTAATTAATTTAAAAATGTGCAGGGCGTGGCGCCAACCATCCCGCTTGGTCCTTTGCTTGGGACAACATCCTATTTTGAACCTCGCGGGTTACAAAATATAGTGGGAGTGGGAGATGGGACTATTACCGAGTGAGGAAAATGACTATTGGGGGCTACAGTTCCTGGAAATCTCCCCTTAGCATGGCTAATGCCTACGCTGGCAGAAAAAAATTGAAAAAAATTACAATTTATGGACTGTTAAAGCACATTCTATGGATGCCACCAAGTGTCAGAGACAGTGGTCACCCCTGTGTCCTCTGGAAACCGGGGCATACAATGTATTAGAATTGAGATCCAGATCCGTTTTTGATTATTTCCTTTTAAAGGGAGAGCCGGGGATTGGATTCCGGGGACCGGCTGGCCAGGCTGGACCTCCTGGGTCTAAGGTCAGTGCCATCGCCATATTGCCTGGCGATCTCTGTCTTTCTCAACCCTGAGGTCTCATTCCTTTCTTGGCTGAGCAAACGAGGCAGGAGGTGGGCCCTTTTCAGAGCCTAAGGGCCATTTCCACCTGCCTCCAGAGCTCAGAAAGATGCCAGAACTCCAAAACTTATTTTATGGAGTTAGAAGCTGTTAAAAAACAAAATGGCGTGGGGGAGAGCTGCAGCTAGCTGCCCTGTAAGACACCCAGTGTTTTCCATTGTGATGGTGTAATAAGGTTTCTTCCCACTAGGGGGAGCCTGGGGCACCGGGAGCTCCAGGAGCGCAAGGGATCCAGGGGATCCGTGGCAACCCGGGGATCTCGGGATCCCAAGGAAAGAGAGGGCCTCCAGGACAACCGGGAATTCCAGGGCAAAAGGTAGGTAATCACCTTGGAGGAATACCTGATCTGATGGACGAAACAGGGTCTCCGGTGGAGAACTGGAACTTGGTTGTCTAGTGAGGAGTTGTGGGTTTTATCTATTCCTATTGAATCTTGGGTTCTGTATTTTGAGGGTGGGAAAGCAGCTACCATGTTCTCTAGACTCACAGTCTGGCTCAATAAGAAGCTGACGACATAGACCCAGATCCAGGTCTATAGAGCCTGAGTCCTGAGCACACTCCTGTCCTGCAGTGAGTCCTGGTCCCTTTGTGCATGGCAGGAGAGGAAGCTGAACACGTTCCACATGCGTTGTCTCCGACGTATTTTTGGTATCACCTGGCAGGACAAAGTTCCAAACTGAGTAGTCCTAGAACGAGCTGGAATTTTCAGCATGAACACATTACTGAAACAGCGCTGTCTACGTTGGCTTGGGCACGTTGTGAGAATGGCTGATGGTTGAATTCCAAAAGATATCCTGTATGGAGAATTAGTGCAGAGATATCGCCCCAGAGGGAGAGACCACAGCTGCGATACAAGGATATCTGGAAGCGGGATCTGAAGGCCTTAGGAATGAACCTCAACAGATGGGAAACCTTGACATCTGAGTGTTCAGCCTGGAGGCAGGCAGGCAGTATGTGGCCCTGCTCGAGACTGAAAGATGCCTAACCAGTATTGGAATTCTTTGCAAAAACCCTCTCATGGACTCTCCCAAACGGTGGCAGGAAATTCTAAAGTTCTTCATCAAACTACAGATCCCAGTATCCCTTAGGACGGAGTCGTGGCAATTAAAGTGACTTCAGTAACTATGCAGCGCAGACACATCTTAGCATAAAGCCCTCTCTCATTTAATCTATAAGAGCCAGATAGAGAAAAAACATCAGAAATGGACATTTTCCCTTATTCAAACTGGAATGCCTTAGATCCACCTCTATGTATTTCCTTCCAGCTGTTTCTTGATATTATCTGTTATCTAATTTATGGTATTCTTCAAAGGTTTCAAATCCGGGGCCTATTTTGTTTTAAAGTGGTAAATGGGGAGCCCTATATCCGTGGTAGTGCTTCTGTCATGACCCTCCTTAAATTGTGCTGTGACCTTATAACAAAGGAGTGGGTGCAGGTTGTTGAAAATAGAACCAGATGTCATAATGCCTTTGATTTATGAAGCCAGAGTGCCCATTTTCGAACCATTTCCATTAAGTTCATCTTCATCTCGACCCAATGAAGATTCTGGACAACTTGGAAGGCTCTCTTATTTACAAGAATAAAACAATTTAAAAAAATGACAGGAGAACCCATTACAAGTCACTCATCTAAAATCAGCTCGGTTGGAGGAGGGGCTTTGCTGATCCCCTGGTCTTCCAGAAAGAGTAACAAGGGGGTCCTAGATCAAATCAAGCCTTCACTGTCTGGAGGCAAAAATGTTGAGGCTGAGGCTTGTCTTACTTTGGGCACCTCCTGAGAAGACAGGATTCTCTGGGAAAGACAAGAATGCTGGGAAAGGTAGAAGGCAGCAGGAAAAGAGGAAGACCGGATACAAGATGGACGGACTCCCTAAAGGAAGCTACAGGCTTGGGTTTACAAGCGATGAGGATGGCTTTTGAGGGCACGCCATTTTGGAGGTTGTTCGTTCATAGGGCCCCTGTAAATCAGAGGTGACTTGACGTGACAGAACAAGAAAAATTCCACCAAGGGGAAAGGGATAACCATCCTGAAATAAGGAGGAAAACATCTGTCCAACTGCCAGATGTGGTACAGAAACATGTAACGCTGGGAGATAATGTGGGAGATGATGCCACACGATTGCAAAGAAGGACCTCCAGGTCGATGTCACAAGAAAGGTGTTAAACATTCATGGGCCGTAGTCATAATGATCCTTAGTCTTGCTTGAGGGATGTGGGAAGTTACTTTTGGGACTGCAGCTCCCAGAATCCCCTAGCCGGTACAGCCGGTGCACTGCTGAAGGATCCTGGGAGTTGTAGTCCAGAGGGGTAACGTTTTCACACAGCTTGATCTGACAGAGTAACGCTCTCTACGCAATCACCCGGGCGTGAGATGTAACACAACGGCCATCTCTCTGCGACTCTCCCGTCGCCCTCTGTCGTTGTTTTCCTCCTCTCCCTCCCTGGCTTTTTCATTTAAAACTCAGGAACTTGCATAAATGCTTTGTGTCACCGTGATCGGGACTCTGTGTCCAGCGAACGTAGACAATGATCCTTTTCCTGAGGGACCAGGTCACTTGGCACTTTCTGCATGACGTGGAAGAATAATCGTCAGTCCATTGACGAGATTGTTATTGTTCCTTTGCCCAGGCGGCTGCGGCTTCCTCATATACCAAGAGGAGTTTTCTTTGGATCAGTGTCTTTGCTTGGATTGCAGGGTCCTGGGTTCGAGAAAAGCAGGCTGGCTGCCTTTGGGTTGCAAGCGGCCACATAAAGGTAGCAGGAAAAGAGGAAGACCGGATACGAGTTCAGCTGCCTTTCGGTTGCAAGTGGCCACATACAGGCAGCCGGAAAAGAGGAAGACCGGATACGAGTGGGGCGGTCTCCCTAAAGGAAGCGGGGGGCTTGAGTCTACAAGCCATTTTGGAAATGGTTCATTCATAGGGTTGCCCTGAGTCGGAAGCATCTTGATAGCCTCTAACCATTAAAGCTACAACCCTCTCCTTTTATTGCAACGTGCTGGAATCCCCCAGTCAACATTCAGCCAGTGGCCTGGGGGGGGCAACGTAGGGATATACACGGGTTCTCCCAATGTAGCGGGGGGCTTGAGTCTACAAGCCATTTTGGAAATGGTTCATTCATAGGGTTGCCCTGAGTCGGAAGCATCTTGATAGCCTCTAACCATTAAAGCTACAACCCTCTCCTTTTATTGCAACGTGCTGGAATCCCCCAGTCAACATTCAGCCAGTGGCCTGGGGGGGGCAACGTAGGGATATACACGGGTTCTCCCAATGTGTTTTCTTTTTGGGATGGGCTCCCTAAAGGAAGCCGTGGGCTACAAGCCATTTTGGAAATGGCTTCTTCATGGGGTGCCCTGAGTCGGAGGCATCTTGATAGCCTCTAACCATTAAATCTACAACCCTCTCCTTTTATTGCAATGTGCTGGAATCCCCCAGCCAGCATTCAGCCAGTGGCCGGGGGGGGCAATGTAGGGATATACACGGGTTCTCCCAATGTGTTTTCTTTTTTATTCCAAGGCTTCCCTTGTAGGGCAGATCCTCTCATCAGGCTAATGCTTCCTCCAACGGCAATAGCCGGCCAAGCTTAGACTGTCTTCTTGTCGCTGCCGTTTTGGCTAGCAAAGACATTTTATTTAAAACCATCTTTTTCTTTGTAGGGGGAACGTGGTCAGAGAGGCCGGAACGGATCCCCCGGATTGCCAGGCCCACCGGGGCTGCCTGGGCAAGAGGTAGTGGCAACGAAACATCTCTCTTTTGGGAAAAGGAGGGTAGAAAGCAAGAAGCAGGAGGATCAGCGCTGGGGTGCGTGGGTGGGGAGCACCTCTCCAGGTAGGGCCCACCTTCTTTAGTGAGGATCGGAGACACCTCTACCTGAAGCCCTGGACCGCGGCTGCCCATCTGGGAGGATCAGATTTATTTTTATTTTATTTTAAATATTTTTACCCCTGCCTTTCTCCTTCAACGGACCTCAGGCGGTGTGCATCCTAGTGGTTCCCCAACCTTGGGCCCCCAGATGTTCTTGGACTACACCTCCCAGAAGCCTTCACCACCACCTCGGCTGGTTAGTGAGGATCGGAGACACCTCTACCTGAAGCCCTGGACCGCGGCTGCCCATCTGGGAGGATCAGATTTATTTTTATTTTATTTTAAATATTTTTTAGCTCACGTTTCTCCTTGAAATGGGTAGTGAGGATCGGAGACCATGTTTAAAAGCTAAAACGGCAGGGACGTTGATAATGCTCGGGATCCGAGGTCTAAGTCCGAGTTTGAGTCTTCGGTCCCGAGCACCAAGCCTCGAGTTAAAGTCTTGAGTCCTTTCGCCCCTCCTTCCCACCCCTCAAGGCTCAGCACTCGGGACTCTGACCCCAAACCTCGGACGGTGCAGGCGCCATCCAGCTGATGGGAGGGGGGATGCGTTTTAAAAGACCATGTTTAAAAGCTAAAACGGCGGGGACGTTGATAATGCTCGGGATCCGAGGTCTAAGTCCGAGTTTGAGTCTTCGGTCCCGAGCACCAAGCCTCGAGTTAAAGTCTTGAGTCCTTTCGCCCCTCCTTCCCACCCCTCAAGGCTCAGCACTCGGGACTCTGACCCCAAACCTCGGACGGTGCAGGCGCCATCCAGCTGATGGGAGGGGGGCGGACCAATGGGGACACCACAAGGCAACATGGACAAAATGAGTGTGAGTAGTGACTCAAGTTTTGAGTCGCCCCAGAACCCGCCCGAATCGAGTCCAAATCAAGTTGCCGGGGACTCTTTGGTCGGCCGGTGGGCAGGGAGCTTGGTTTGTTAGAGATGGGCACGAAGCTCAGTTCGGCGGTTCGTGCCAATCCGTATGTATGGCACCACAGGGGCCGCGCGTTCCCTTCCTGCGCCGCCCCACTCACCCGTTGGAGCACGCTCCTCTCCTCTTCCTTGCCAGCTGTTCATTCGGATAGGGTAGCCTGCCCTGCCTCTTTGTCCAAGTGTGATGGGTCAAACAGCCGAAGAGGAGGAGGAGAAGAGGAGGGTTTGCTGACTGGGGAGGTGTTGCCACACGTATGAAGTGGCACAAACAGCTGAACGGAGCTTCATGCCCATCTCTAACAGTAAGTAGTACTCCCTCCAGTGGGAGGGAGTTCCAGAGTCTGGGAGCAGCCACAGAGAAGGCCCTCTCCTGTGTCCCCACCGAGCACCCCTCTGAGGATGGTGGAACTGAGAAAAAGGCCATCATGGAGGTACGAGCAGGGATGAGCATCCTATGCATAGCAGATAACCTCAAGGCTGTTCCTCCAATACCGAAAGGCCATTGGGAAAGTCAAGAGGACAAAAAAGTGGGGTAGGCGTATCATCTCTCCAGATGCTTCTTTTTATGGTTTTCTGACACCAAGCTAGACCATAATTGTAGACAAACAACTGGTGCTTTGTTCCAGAGTGATCCTGCCACCGCTGGAAGGGGCTCATGTGGCCCTTGCTTGGATCCGCAAAGGGGGAGGGGGAATGCTCTCTAGATCCTCTCTGATTGTCCACCTAAGATTTAGGTTCTGCTTTTGGTATAACACAGTGGTTATCCTCAATCTTGGGTCCCCAGAGATTCTTGGACTACAACTCCCAGAAATCCTGGCCAGCACAGCTGGTGGTGAAGGCTTCTGGGAGTTGTAGTCCATGAACATTTGGGGACTCCAGTTTGAGAACCACTGGTATAAGGAAACTGTCCATGAAATGATGCACTGGATCGAGCGATAAGTTGGTGAGGAGAACATAAAGAGGAGGCTTGAGGTTGGATTGGCCCGTTTTTATCTCAATAATGTAAGGAAGAAGTGGGAGCAGCTGAGATAGGGACAAGCCACAGCCCTACCAGGCTCTGTGTTGTGTGTCCACCTGAGCTGACAAGTGCTCCCCTTGTCTTGGTACGAAACCATATTTTGTGTTTTTGCTCCTCAGGGGATACCTGGAGCCCCCGGAATGAAGGGGAACAAGGTGAGTTACACACAAAGCAAACAACCACTCAGCTGACCAGCGATGGGGCTCAGGATGGAGAAAATGCCCAGCACAGTGGAACAATGTGAAATTAACTCTGGTCAGATCTGGCGATGCCTGTTGAGTTCCCTTTGAAAGCAGATTTGGTAGATTGGGGAGAAGAATTGATGCTTTTCAATTGTGGTGCTGGGGGAGGCTCTTGAGAGTCCCCTGGACTGCAAGGAGAACAAACCTATCAATTCTAAAGGAAATCAACCCTGAGTGCTCACTGGAAGGACAGATCCTGAAACTGAGGCTCCAGTACTTTGGCCATCTCATGAGAAGAGAAGACTCCTTGGAAAAGACCTTAATGTTGGGAAAGTGTGAAGGCAGGAGGAGAAGGGGACGACAGGACGACATGGTTGGACAGGGTCATCAAAGTGACCAACATGACTTTGACCTAACTCCGGGAGGCCGTGGAAGACAGGAGGGCCTGGCGTGCTCTGGTCCATGGTGTCACGAAGAGTCGGACACGACTTTATGACTAAACAACAACAACAAAGTAGATTGGATTATTATATACTACATCTAGAATGGAATGGACAGCACCCAATTATGAATTAGAAACAACACCGGATAAAAGAGATTTTGGGCTAGTCCTCTACTTTGCTTAGATGTTGAGATAACCTCAGGCTCTCGAGGAAAGAGAAAAAGGATTATTTGGCAACCAATAAATCCCTGGATAACACTGTGATTTTTTTTTCTGTTTGGCAGGGCGAAACTGGTCTTGGCAAACCGGGCCCACGAGGACCGCGTGGCCCCCCTGGCCCCCGGGTAGGATGACCTGTTAATTCATCCCCTTTTTGGGGTGTTGTTCATGCCAGCCTTTGCTCCAAATATCCTTATCAGCTGGATGACTGTGATGGCATGTTTTCCGGTTTCTTCATTTGGGGTGAAAGGAAGAGCTTGAATTTCAAAGCATTCAAAAGCGGGAGAAGCTAAAACGGACAAAACTGAGCCATCCTGTTGTTTAGACCAGTGGCTCCCGAACTCGGGTTCACCAGACATTCTTGCACTACAACTCCCAGAAATCTTGGCCATCCCAGTGAGGGGTGAAGGCTTCTGGGAGTTGTAGTCCAAGAACGTCTGAGGACCCGAGGTTGGGAGCCACTGGGTTAAAATAATAAGTCATGCTAGAGGAGACCCTTTGAAGGAATGGGGATCTGGTGAGTCAAGTCCTCTGTATGTTCCATTGATTCAAATGGGCAGGTTGGGAGCCACTGGCTTAAAATAATAAGTCATGCTAGAGGGGACCCATTGAAGAAGTGGGGATCTGGTGAGTCAAGTCCTCAGTATGTTCCATTGATTCAAATGGGTCTACTCTAGTTATGACTTAGTATACTAAAGTTGCAATTAGAGTAGGCCCATTTCAATCAATGGAATAG